AAAAATAGGTAAAATAATGGATTTCTAAATACAGATCAATAAAAGAATGTACCTATAAATACAGATCAATGGCTGACTAGCTGGTTAATGGATGAACAAAGAGATGAACTGGTAGGTAGATAATTAAGTGGATGGGTGGTTTGACAGTGTTAAGCAAATCACTCAGATAGTTGCCCAAGCTAGTTCTGGAATGGAACCCATCACTTCTGGATCTGATACAATCCTTAATCCCTCTCAAATGCTCCCTTTTTATCTCCACAACTCTGGGCCCCAACTCAGGTCCCACAGTCCCATGAAAGAGAGAAGGGGCTTCCTAAAGTTTCCCTAAGACTAGTCTCTGGATTTCAGAAACTTTGAAAGCAGTTTGTGTCATGATCACCCCCAGTCTAGTGACTGCCTGGCTTACATTCCTGCTCCCAGAGCATCACCACCCACCTCACAGACACTTCTCTTCATCCCTTCCTTGCTCAGCTTGGTTCAAACATCATCATCTCTCACATGGGCCATCCTATCAGCCTTTTAACTGGTTACTCTGCTTCACACTTGCTTCCCGTGAAAAGAGTAAGGATGGCCCTTCCTAACTCCACAAAGGGGTCAGTCTCCCTCAAGTACATCCACAGTATAAAACTAATTCCCATGAAGTCACCTGTCCCCCCACGCTCCTGCATCTATTTCTACTAATTCCAACATGAATCTTACTGCTTTGCTGTTGTTGCTGTGTGCCATTGAGTCAGAACCAACCTTTGGCTGACCCTACAACGAGTTTTCAGAGGCAATAAATCACACAGGAAGAGGTTGTCCATCTTTCTCCCACAGAGCAGCTGGTGTATTTGAACCTCATATCTTTGGGATTATAGCACAGCTTCTTACCACTAGGCCACCAGAGTTCCCAGGGTTTGAAATCCGTTGTACTCACAATTACAAGTCAAGCTGGCAATAGGATGCAATTTCTCGGTCAGGGCAGCTTCTTAAGTGTGCTCACATGTCCTTCAGCCTTTACCCTTTGATTTTAGGCCAATATTACAAAGCTCTTAGACCTGTCCATTATGGCTTTTCCCTCCCAGTCCTCCTCCAAGCTCCGGCCTATGCCGCTGGCTCTGGCTCGGGCTCGGGCTCCGAGGGCAGTAGCCCCAGGTGGGCTCTGTCTCATGCCAGTCTCTGGTTCTCAGCTGCGGCTGTAGGTGCTCTCCTGGAGGTGCCGGTCTGACTGGTACAAGAATCTCAGACCCGAAAGGCAGGAAGGCCATGTGCTATTTTGTCTATTTCTTCCTTTCTGGAAATGATTCCCAATTTCAGTCTCTGAGCCCTCTCAATTTTAAAGGCAATGGCCTGGGAGAGACATTTTGAACAATAGGCCCACACTCCCTCAGATACATCTCAGATCTTATTCCAGAAGAATTGTTCCAAATTCCATCTCATCAGTGGCTCCACAACCCCTAAGGCTAACTTTCTGGATCCAAGACCAGGCATTAGAGAAACCCATCAACACAAAACAGACACAGCCTCTCTGGATTTATTTCCTGTTACATCCTCCTCCAGAAAGTCCCTCTCCTTAGGACCCTGCACAGCAGCATGACAAGGGCCCAGAATGTTTAGGTCATTTCTGAGGATTCTGTCCAGCCAGGAAGAAGGGAACTCTCTTTGGGGACCCTGGGAGCAAATGGCCTGAGTGGTAGTGGGTCTCCCCTGGGGGTGGGGAGGGGGTGTGTCGGTCCTTTCACTGGGAGGTGGCTCAGGCTGTGGGGGAGGGAAGACTCTCTGCATAGCCAGCGATTAGCAATTAACTGAGAGGAATCTCCAGGATGAGGTTAATCGGGGAACAGAGGGAGGGCAGCTAGGGTTCTAGGGACTTTGCCCTTGATCTGAGGGTATAAAGAGGAGGGTCGCAGGGCCCTGGAGCTTTCCTGAGTGGCTGAGCCGAAGCTAGAACACAGAAGCCCAAGGTAAGCCTAGGGACCCCAATCCCAATCTCATCCCTTAACTCTTCCCCTCCCCGCGCCCCATCATCCCCTAACTCTTACTTACCAGGGAAACAGCCCATCCTGTCAGATGTCCTCAGTTCCAGCCCCTTCACTGGTCTTGCTCTGCCCTGCCTGGGTCCTGCTCATTCCTGCCCTAAAAATATCCCAGCCCAGCTCACTCCCCAGAGTGACCACTCTTCCTGTCCCAGGGCTCGGAATTCAGTAGAGTCTCCTGATCTGGACAGCCAAGGAACCCTGGGACAACATGGCGGGGAGTAAGGCAGATCTGGGTGCCCCCACCCTGATAGCCAAGGGCCTCAGGACAGTATAGAAGGGGTTTGAGACAGCCTGAGGCTTTGCAGACTTACGGACCAGTCTGAGCTTATTCACTGAGAGGCCTTCCACATGTGTTTACTGCCCCTGAAGTCAGAGGTGAATGAGGGGAGGAGGTTAATTTGTGAGAGGAAACCAGGAACCTGGGAGTCAGCAGGTCATTGGTCCCATGTCAGCATCTAGCATGTGGATGGATGAATGCGTGCCCGGGAGGCCCCGGCCTCGCAAAGCTCTGGAGAGAGCCGACACCACCAGGCACGGGGCCCAGCTCTGCAGTCCATTTTAACTCCCAGTGTCCTGGCCCACTCGTCCCACAGCGGGTCTCGGGTCCCACCTCTCCTCCCCTCTCAGGGCCTTGCACACACATACTTCTTCCTTCTTTGTCCAGTTCAACTCAATGCTTTCTTTTTGTAAGTTTTAATTTGACTATCAGTTTACAGAACAAATTGGTTTTCCATTCAGCAATTCATACCCGTTCTGCTCTGCAGCTCTGCCTGTAATCCCCACGCAGTAACAGCGCTCTTCCCACTTCCTCTCTAAGTTCCTGTTTCTAGTCATCCTTCTTTCCTACCCTTTCCTACTGTCTGAGCCTTATCTCTGAGCAAAACCTGCCTTTGTGATCTTTTTTAGTTGATGGTTCTAAGGAGTATTTCTCCCTCGTGTGTTGTGGGCTTTTCCATCCTTTTGTTTGACTGGAAGTTGAGTCGCAGGGTGATTTCAGTGTCAGACTTGAAAGGTGGCTCGGGGCCATAGTCTTGGGAGTTTTCCTGTGTATATCACACCAGCAAGTCTGGTCTTTTTTGTGATTTTTAGTTCTGTCTCCCATTCCCCCCTACTCTATCAGGGAGCTTCTAATGTGATCCCTCTCAGAGCAGTCAGCAGTGATGGCCAGACACCATCTAATCCTTCTGATCTCAGGGTCACAGAGACTAAAGTTCACTAACAGGCTTTGATTTTCTTTACTCTTCTTTGCTCTGGAAGGGGACAGACCTGTAGTTGCACCTTAGACGGCTACTCACAAGCTTTTATGATCCTGTCACTACTCACCAAAGTCGGTGTGCAACACTGTCTTTGTCGATGCAATTCTCTTCCCATCTCAGCTAATTGTCTGGAAGATTCTCCTCCTCCTCAGCTGTCAGTGCAGAGCACTGTCATGACATCCTTTCACTTTCATGATGCCTTTTCTTTTCTTCTTTAAAATTTATTATTTTGTGTGTGTACCATCAGAACCCAAATCAGATCTGACTGGTACAGGAGGAGATTGTCTCTCCTTCTCCAGCAGAACATGTAATAGTTTCAAACCGCGGACCTCTGAGATTGCAGTGCAGCTTCTTACCACTAGGCTGCCAGAGCTCCCTTATGATGTCTTTTCTGTTGCTGCTTTCTACTCATTACAGGGATGGCTTGGCTCAGATCAGCTTCTCTCGCGAGGCACTGAGCCTCTTGAGGGAAGACCTCTTTCCATACACCCTACATCTGCACAGTGAAAATAGTTAATGGGCTCAGCTGCCAGCTCAAAGTCTTGAGCTTTGAATTTTCCCAAAAGTATCTCGGAAGAAAGGCTTGGTGATCTAATTCCAAAAAACCAGCTAGTGAATGAAAATCCTAATGAGTACAGCTCTGTTCTGACACGCATATGGTTGTGATAAGTTGAGTAGATATTGTAGTGACAGGTTGGCTGTAGCCTACGTCTGGATGAGGAGATGCTCAACAAGTACTTGCTGAATGCATGGGGACCCTTGTGTTCCGTAGAGTATGATTACACGTGTGTGTGTCTGTGTTCAGGACACATGGTTGCCATTCCGTTTTCTGCATGCAGGCTTCACAGTGTGCACCCAGAATGATGTCCTATGGAGACAGGCTGGGGACCCCAACTGTCTCCCCACTCCCTGTCCGCGGGGGACACATGATGCGGGGGCCAGCCTTTGCCTATGTGCCCAGCCCTCAGGGTGAGTACTACCCCACTTTCCTGGGCGATGTCTCCACCTTCCCACCTCCCCAGGACCCCAGGGCCTCTGGTACCGCTGATCAGCCTCTCTCTCCAGTCCTGCACAGGATCACAGGGACTTCAGCCTATGCCTTCCCCACCCTGGGCCCTGTGGCTCTTACAGAGCACAGCTGCCCCTATGGGGAGGTTCTGGAGCTCCATGAGCCGCTACCCACCAAGCTGGCCCTGGAGGAGGAGCAGAAGCCAGGTAGCTGGGCATGGGTGGTTGGGGTTGTAGCGGTCCCCACCCAGCCCCTGCCCACCGCAGTGCTCACAGCCGCCTGTCTCCAGAGCCCGGGTTAGCCCTGAGACTGCGCCGGGCTGGCACCACGCTGCTCAAGGTGCCCCTGATGCTCACCTTCCTCTACCTCTTCGTGTGCTCCCTGGATGTGCTCAGCTCGGCCTTTCAGCTCGCTGGAGGTAGGGCTGCATGGAGGTGCGGGGTGGGGGTCCTCAAGAGCCTCGGCTGATACTGGCTCCTGCTCCCCAGGGAAGGTGGCCGGAGACATCTTCAAGGACAATGCCATCTTGTCCAACCCGGTGGCGGGGCTGGTGGTAGGCATCCTAGTGACCGTGCTGGTGCAGAGCTCTAGCACGTCCACCTCCATCATCGTCAGCATGGTCTCCTCCGGCTGTGAGTCAGCCCTCAGGGTCCAGGGAGAGGTGTGTGTGTGTGTGTGTGTGTGTGTGTGTGTGTGTGTGTGTGCTCGTGCATGCGTGTGTAGTGTGTGTGTGTCTGTGTGAATGGGGGTGTGGAGGGGACCTGGGGGGTAGACTGGAGGGCAGGGCACTGGAGGGGCGGGGATGTGAGGCAAGTGGAGGACAGGGGCTGGGGGAAGAGCAGGACTCTGGCATCTCCCACTTTGTCTCTTAAGCTCGGCCAGGAGGATGTCCCCAAGGCTGGGAAAGGTGACAAATAGGGTGCATGTCCTTAGGAAATGTCTTTATGGCCACTTGTCCAGTCATTCACTGTACAGTCAGCACTCTGTTGGAGAAACAGAACCAGTCAGAGACATATACAGTAAGAATGATGGTGAGGATTGACTTACAAAACTGTGCTTGGCCAGGCAGCCTGTCTGGAAAGGCAGGCAGACTCTGGGGCGCAGCCTCCCTGGGAGGCCTGTCCTCCTCAGGGGCCCGTCAGCTCCACTCTCAAGCCTTTGCCTGATTGGACAATACCCACCCAGGTAACAGAGAATGATCTTTACTTAAAATGCACAGAGTGTAGATCTTACCCGCACCTACCAGATGCCTTCACAGCAACACCTAGACGATTGTTGCATTGAAACACTGGGTGCTACAGGCCAACTAAGCTGACATCTAAAACTGACCACCATGCTCACGTATGTGTATACACAGCATCCGTATACGTCTGCACACTTGTTTTTATCTGTTCATGCTCTGTGTGCACAGGTTCATGTAAATACGTCACACACGCCCCATGCACTGCCACCACCGGGCTGGCAGAGGCAGCAGGAATGTCTGCCAGGGACTGAGATGGGCATTGTGTGTGGGCGCTGGGGTCCCACCAGTTAGCTAAGGAGTCCCCTTCTCTGCCAGTGCTGGAGGTAAACTCTGCCATCCCCATCATCATGGGCTCCAACATCGGCACCTCTGTCACCAACACCATCGTGGCCCTGATGCAGGCGGGAGATAGGACCGACTTCCAACGGTGAGGGGGTGGAGAGATGGGGGGCTCTGGCCTTGCTATGGGAGGGCGGCCTCTCTCTCTTTTGCCAGGAGCTCCTGGGGGATGGGCCCCAGCCCCCTGGCCTGCCTGCCATGTGGCCTCCCTGCCCAGGGCCTTTGCGGGGGCCACAGTGCATGACTGCTTTAACTGGCTGTCCGTGCTGGTCCTGCTGCCCCTGGAGGCGGCTACTGGCTACCTGCACCACGTCACCCAGCTCGTGGTGGGCTCCTTCAACATCCGTGGCAGCCAAGACGCCCCGGACCTGCTCAAGGTCATCACGGAGCCCTTCACGAAGCTGATCATCCAGGTGAGGCCAGGGATGGGGCTGGGGGTAGGAAGCAGGAGGGGGTACGTGTCTTATGCCCTCACTCCTGCTGCCCACATCTTGCCCCAGCTGGACAAGTCCGTCATCACCAGCATCGCCACTGGTGATGAGTCCTTGAGGAACCACAGCCTCATCCGGACCTGGTGCCACCCAGACCCTCTGGAGGTGAGTCCCACCTGGCTCCGGCTGTGGGGACTCCCCATGCACACAGCAGCAGGTACATCGTCCACTTGAAATACCATCTATACCTTGGGGGTCACCCAGCAGGGAGAGGGTGGATGTGTGACATTTTTACTGTGATACCGAGCTGTGGCGCTCACCGCCCACAGCCTCACACCTACTCAGACACCTCATCGCCTGTCAGCTACAGGTGGCTGGTAACTGAGCCAACCCAGTAATCTCCAAAATGAGGTCCCAGGGGCCAAAATCAGTGCTACCTGGGAACTTGGTAGAGAAGCAAGTATCAGGTCCTTCCTAGACTTGGAATCCCTGGATGGTGCAGTTGATGAGCGTATTCAGCTCTAAAAGAAACAGTAGAAGTCCAAGTCAACCCAGAGGCTCCTCTGCAAAAAGAACTGGGGGCCCACTTCTGAAAAATCAGCCACTGAAATGCTCTGGAGTGTAATTCCATCCTGACATTGCCCAGTGTCACCACAAGTCAGAATCCACAGCAACTGGTACAAATGCTGACACTGTCCCAGAATCTACCAAACTGAAACAAACAACAGGGCCTACAAATCAGCAAGCCCTCCGGGTCTGCTCCTTGGTCAAGTTTGAGAACCACTCATCTAGCTTCATCCTCTGGTTTCACAGGTAAAGGGGAAAGGCTCACAGGGAGGAAAAGAGGCGAAGGAATTTTCCAGACTCTCCCAGAGGCCTGGGACAGAGTGCAGGCCCCCAGCCTAGTCCTTCCTCCTTTCCCCAGGGCTCCAGGCTCAGTGACTCTGCCACGCCTCACTGGGGGCCCAGCTAATGCTGGGAATGGATTGTTACCAGGATAGGCAGCCAAGTAGGAAGAACAGGAAACTGACTCAATGAGACTTGGAAAAGTGCCCTATCGAAGAAGTGACACCAGCAGCTTATGGTGCCAGCGTCTGGGCCTTCAGTCATGACTGCTTTCCCCTCACTGCTCCTGCCTCCGGGCCCCCCTGCCCAAGAGAAGACCTGTTTGGACGGACCAGACCCTCAGCTGCTGCCAGAGATTGGCTCCAAAGACGGCCCTTCACACCTGCAAACGAGGAAGCAGGCAATTAGCATACTTGCTCACCCACCCACGGAAAGGAAGATGTTCATCCAAACTATAATCCAGAATATTTGCTCCTCTTTAATTATTGCTCTCAAAAAGGAATCCTGTTCAAGGCAAGATATAAGAAAACTGGAACCCCCAGGCCCAAGCCTTAGCCATTCTCATCTTCTCCATTTCCTGTTATTAAGGGCAGTTGAGTTGGCCTTGACTGAAGGGATCAATGATAATCAGTCCAGCAGCAGTACCCCCAGATAGGACTGTTGCAATCCACAGGGTATCCACAGCCAGGCCTTTCTTCTTAATCTGTCAGCCCCACAGAAACTCTCTCAGCATCACAGACACCGCAACAGGTGGTAGCTGAGAATCAAAACCCTGGTTTCACATGTAGAGAAGCAAACTCTGAGAGGTCAAATCTTGTCTGGGAATCAAATCCATGTCTTCTGCACAGAAGATGAGAATCCTACCACGGAGCCACCACTGCCTCTTTAGCTTCAGTGTGAACAGAATAACCCTCCCCACTCGCCCTACAATGACTCTGCATCCGCAGTGGTCCACAGCGCCAGCTCAGTCGCTCTGAGTCTAGCACTCCATCATCAAAAAGCCCCTTCAAACAGCGTTTCTCCAGACTTTGCTACTCTCCCACACACCACTGGTTTCCTCACGAGCCCTCTGAGCTGTCTCTGATCTCTCCGGGCCCCTAAGATCTTCTTTACTTCATAGCAAAATGTGAGCAAGATTTGATCTTCACAAAAAACAAGCCATGAAAGGGAGATCCTCTGCCATGAGTCACATCCTCTGAAGTTCCTGCCCCTCACCTGCAGCTGTGTTCTGCAGGACTCAGTGACTAAGACAACTTTGAGCACATCCCAGCTCACCTAATTTAGTCCTCATGCCGCTCCAGTGAGGCACACGTGATGATCCTGTCACAGGAGACGGGGGCTGGGTGACACCAACCAGCCGGGGGCTGCCCTCACGGTATCGTTACAGTTCCAGCTGCCACTTTCCTGGCAGCAGCTTCTACAAGCAAACTCTTGACTCTATGGCAGTGCCCTGGCATGGCTGGTAGGGCACGCAAAGGGCCCTGTTCTCACTTCACCTGGGGCATTGCTCTGCAGGAGCTGGGGTCCAGGATCAAAGAGCTGGCTCTGCCTCTGGCCTACATGCTGGGGACCTGCCTACACCAAAGACACACCTGTTTTGCCATGGAGTCTCTGTTGTTCCTTCCAAGTGTGTTTCCTTGTCTCTGACTTTCAACAAACTAGACTCAACCTCATCCAGAGCTGGAGAGGGCTAGGATAGCCAAGGCTTCCCAGAAAAGTAAAACCAGGGGAGGTTTCCAGGTTCAGAGGCTTCTGGATACTCAGGGAATCTGTCACTGCACTGGGAGTCCCCTCCTTGTCACACTGTGGGCTGTCAGCCACACACTGTATTTTAAAAGTTTTGGTTTTGGGGGTTTTGTTAGGACTTTAAACCTAGAAAGCAACAGTTAGCATCTCCTTATTTTACAAATGAGGAAACAAGGCTCAGAAACGGGCTTGTGCATATCTCTTGTCCGATATGATCGGAACCCTGGGCGAGCCCATACTCCTGAATCCCCATCTTGCTGCCTCTCCCAGACACCAGCTTAGTTTCCTACCACACCTATCCACTCCGTTCCTGCTCTGTCAGCCCTGAGCCACAAGTGACCACAGCCACCCCAGGTGGTTTCCACGAATGGTGGGTTTGCACTAAGGACAGTTTCCTAACTTTGCCACCAGAGGGCGCTGCCAACATAGCGTTCTTCCTCTGCTTTTGCGAGAACAAAGACCTGGAGCTTCCCTTGTTCCTTAGGGAAAACTGCTTTGCAGGCTTACATTCCCTGCATTTCTCCCCAGAGGAAGTATTCTTAAAGCCAACACTCTTTTATGAGTTTAATCACATCGCTCAGTTCTCAGAGGTGCCTCCTTAATTTGGGGTGTCCCTGCAGGCACTTAAATCCCTATTCTTCCAAGAGGCTTTGCAATGACCCCCTGGGGAGAGGTGGCGAGCATTATGCTGCAGAGGAGGAAATAAAAGTCCCAGAGAAGTTAAATGCTTTATCCAAAATTGCACAACTGGGCAGTGTTTCAGCTGGGATTTGAGCTCAGTGCTGTCTGAGGCTCATTCTCTTCTTAGACTTCCCTATGCACCCAGGCAGGATGAGGGCATCAGGGCTTTTGATCAAGGCTGAAGCCTCTCTATTTTATTTTTTCAGCCTGCCAGAAATTCCTGAGGCCTACCTACTCCTTCCCATCAGCACAGCATCCCTGCCCCGAGCCTGACCTCTCCCCATCCCTATTGCTGCCTCTATGCTCCTCTTTGGACTTTAAGAACCTCTAAGACTTACTTTGTGGTCACATGCCCCAGGTCAAAGCCCCAAATCTAGAGGTCTTAACCCTCAGCCTTGCCATGCCTCTGACTTTGCCAGTTCTTTGTGGGGATATCAGCAAGTTCTTCTCCTTCCTTCAGTCTCCCCAGGACCCCATAGGCCCCTCCCACAAGGAGACTCCTCTGCCCAGATCCGGATGAATCATGGCTCTCAATGTCTTCCGGGGGTTGCAGGCTGGGGGCTTCCAGTGAACACAGTCCACTTGTGACAAGTTTGCAGGGGCGCTAACAATAGCCCACTTGAGGTTTTCTAAAGACTCCTGGGAAGGCACTGATAAACACACACACAGAGCCTTTCCACCACAATCTGTTCCTGAATGGCACCAGTAAGGAGAGAATCTAATTCTTTGTTGTTGTTGTGCGCTGTTGAGTCACTTGCAACTCATAGCAACCCTATGTACAACAGCCCTAAACTCTGCTCTGTCCTGTGCCAATCGCACTGTCTCTGACACTCCCATACCAATGATCCCAGTCACTGAATCAATCCACCTCATAGAGGGAGGGCCTTCTCCTCCTGCGCTGTCCCTCCACCCTCCCAAGCATGATGTCCCTCTCCAAGGACCGGTCCCTCCTTACAACATGTCCAAAGTATGTTAGACGGAGCCTCAGAATCCTTGCCTCCAGGAAGCCGCCCGGTTTAACCCTTTCCAGGATAAATCTGTTTGTTTTCTTAGCTGTCCATGGTACAATACTCTTTTCTAGCACCACAGCTCAAAGGCATCAATTCTTCTATCGTCCTTAGTCATTGTCCAGCTCTCTGATGCATAACAAGTGATAGCAAAGACCATGGCCTGTATCAGACGCACCTTATTGTCCAGAGAGACACCATTGCTTGTCAGTACTTTGGAGAGGTCCCTAACAGCAGGCTTTCCCATGGCAATACGTCTTTTAATTTCCTGGCTACTGGTGCCAAGAGTGTTGACAGTGGAGCCAAGCAAAGACACAATTTATTGAAGGCTTGTGATGCACAGGCCCTGCAGGGAACACGTCACACACATTTTCGCTTGTAACTTTTACAACAGCTCTGTTATTATCCTTATTTCGGAGAAACAAGGCTCTGAAATGTGACATGACTTGCCCAAGGTCGTTGGGACAAGATGTGGATTTGAACTCAGTCCTGCCTGACAGCAGACACCTGGATCTCTCTAACAAGGGGGGAGGGGAGCACTTCTTTGCCAGCCTGCTTTTCCAATCTAACCCAAAGGAGCTCTTTTCTCTTAGTTTCTCTGCCTGTGGTTCAGCCAGGGCTTGATGGGGCTTTAAGGTCTCAGTGTGAGCAGGAAGCTTCCAGCCATTAGCCTTCTTGAGGGAACATGCCCCACTTAAATAAACCCTGGTGTTACTGCCAGACACCAAAATGCTTCTTTATCTCTAATCATCACACTCTTTCTAAATGCCATCGTTTAGAATAAAACCTGAAGGAGCCATAAACAACAAAGAGTCTGCACTCAATAGGAACCTATTCTCAGCACCAAGGAGGCCGAGAGGCCTGGCATGTGGAGTTCACAGGGACCAGGGTCTACACCGCCCCCGCAGCCTGTTGTCACGGAGTCAATTCCAACTCAGGACAACCCCACAGGTCAGAACAGGACTGCTCCACACAGCATGCCATCAGGAGGTCCAGTTCCTGGAAAAGGACATCATCCTTGGAAAAGTAGAGTGGTATTGAAAGGGAGGAAGACTCAGTGAAATAGATTAACACAATGAGCTTGAGCTCAGTGGAGACTGTGAGGCTGGTACCCAGCGGGGAGTTCCCTTGTGTTGGACATGGAGTCGCTATGAGTCAGAGCCAAACTGATGTCACCTAACACCACCACAGGGCTCACAAATGGATGTCATCTTACACGTAACCAAACCTTCTTCTGGAGCACCAACCTTTTGGCTGATAACCAAGGGCAAACCATGTGTTTGATATCAGCCCCAAGAAGAAAGCAAAAGCCAGTTGCTGTGGAGACAATTCTTATTCACGGAGCCCTAAGTGTGTTCCATGGGGTTTCAGCGGCTGCTTTCCCAGAAGCAGACCTCTGGGCCTTTCTTAGAGGTAACTCTTGACGGACATATTTGAACCACAAACGTTCTTGTGAGTGTTTCCTGGAGTGTGTTAGCAGTTTGCACCATTTAGGGACTCCCCGACGCAGCAGCAGATGGATGATGCCAGGGCCAAGCGATAGTCCCTGAACTTTGCTTGCGGCCCTAGCAGTTCTTTCTGGGCATGAGGCCTGAGGCGTGAATGCCTCTCTCTGAGCCTCAGTTCTCCTTTGTGAGACACCCAGGCAGTGGTGGAGACCAGCTGACGCACCAGGCAGCTGCTTGTGCTTCCTCCTTTCTCCCCGCTAGAAGGCTGCTGGGTTTTGGTGGAGGGTCAGGGACCTGATACTTCCTGATAAAATGACCCGTTAGTCCACTCAAGCTGCAGATTAGCTGTGCTCAGGCCAGACTGTGCTGCTTCTGTTTGGCCTTCAGAGAATGGGAATGTTTGTCTGCCAATATATACCAATTGGGAGAGTTTACGTAAACATCAGTGTTAAAGGTTTTCCTGCAACACAAGCAGCTTGGCACGCTAACTGCACTCCTGGCCCACAAGGATACCCCAGGACTGAGTAGCAGCTGTCCCTCTAGGCCCAGCACCTCGGCTCCAGTGGGCCAGGTCCTCATTCCATCCACATTCCAGCCTGAGCCTCTCATTTATTGTCTGGGGTGTTTCCTGAATTAGGACACCCCTCCTCGCAGGGAGCCCTTCCACTTCACTGACAGTGATGAGAAAGGCGGACATGTGGGATCTTGACCCCCTCACCCCTCCCTGACTCCTCTGGATAAGGAATTTCATGAGCAGGAGATCGGAGGCTGGGTGCTATCGGAGGGGAGAGGAGGAGGCAACTAGAGGGCTTTGCTCACAAAAGATGAGGCGCGGGAGAGCTTTCAGAGGAGGGAAGTGGTCAGCAAAATCGGGAGTGTCTCCTAATAACACTGAGAGGTGGGGAAACGGGGACAAGATGCCCTTGGAGTTGATCGGGAAGCCTCTGGTGGCCCCCAGAATGCAGCTCAGGGAGTAATGGGGATGGCACACTGAGGGTCCAGTATGATCAGACCCTGCCTCAGAGGGCATTTCCGTGCACTGCTCTTCCTCAGAGAAAGACATGGTAATAACCACAAGGCCAGATCTGTCTCCATTTCCACCACCCCCATCTCAGTCTTAATCCCAGCCTACATTTTCCTATATTCTTTAAAGTCACCGCCTCTCAATCTAGGCTCACCTCTCCATGCCCAGGACAGAGGTCAACACTAGCCACCTCCTTGGAAACGCCACCATGGAGAAATGTAAGTACCTGGTGTGATGGTGTGGGGGACACTGAGCCTGGGCAGGGCAGGCCCCAGGGAGGGCACTCGCTGTCAACCAGCCCAGCTCCCAGGCCCACTGGCCTTACTCTCAGAGTCCACAGGGGTTGCAAAGATCCGTGGGATCCATGTGTGGGATCAGTTCTCAGCAGCCTGACATCTCTGCAGGCAACCACATCTTCGTGGACACGCGGCTGCCTGACCTGGCTGTGGGGCTCATCTTGCTGGCAGGCTCCCTGGTGCTGCTGTGCACCTGCCTCATCCTCCTTGTTAAGATGCTCAACTCCCTGCTCAAGGGCCAGGTGGCCAAGGTCATACAGAAGGTCATCAACACCGGTGAGCACTGGGCTGGGGTGGGCATGGGTCCTTCCAGGTCTCCCTGAGTCCTGCACTGCCTTGCTCTGAGATCTGGGCAAATCTCTGCTGTCCCTGAGCCTACAGTTTTCCCAGCAGAGCAAAGAAGGGCTTGGGCCAGGTTTTGTCTGAGGGCCTTGAGCTGTGGGATCCATAGTTTGCCTCTGGCTGTGGTATCATTTCAGCCAGTGGCTTCAAGAGTCTCAGAAGTTTGACTCCAACAAATATTAAGCCTTTAGAATTGTGACACAGAGTCCCTGGGTTTTGTAAACAGTTATCACACTTGGTTGCTAACTGAAAGGCTGGAGGTTTGAGTCTACTCAGATGCAGTCAGAAGAAAGGCCTGGTGATCTACTTCCAAAATCCCTGTGGGCTCAGTTCTACTCTGACACACACGGGTCACCATGAGTGTAAACAGCAACTGGCAGCTGGAGTATGCCAAGCTGGTGCAGAGCCGGGGACGGGAGGCCAGGCAAATCAAGATGGCCCTGCCCTCGAGGGGCTGGCACAAACGTCCAGGGTTTGGGGAAAACATATGTAAGGGAAGAAGCTGGGTGCATTTAGAGAAAGTATGAGATAGCTGCCAAAGAGAAAGCAACACATGGCCATACAAGAGAACGTGGAAAAGGCAGCTTTCCACTAGCCATCAGGCTCCTCTAAAAGGAGAAGTAGCTGAGATGCAGATGAAGTGCACCCACAGGAAGAGCACATGCATAGGCTCAGGGGCGGGAACTCCCTTGGCAGGTGTGACCAGGTGAAGTGAGCAATGCCAGAGCAGTGGGAGGTGTGAGGTGTGACTGAGATCACAGGGAAACTGGATTTATTAAGGGTACAAGGAGAATTGGAGCGTTTGGGACAGAAGAGTGACACTATGCCAAGCTGTTTTGAGTGTTTGGGACACTGGCTGGCACAAGGAGAGGTTATACAGCAAATACTGGGAGAAACGGCCTCCATGGGTTGTGGAATCACCTTCTGGTGAGACCACAGAGGAGGGCAGAGGTCAGGGTGGGATTCCAGTGGGTGGGAATTTGTGCTGAACTCCTATCTGTATAGGACATTCTGTATAGGACATTGCCTGAGCAAAGATCTCATAGCACTGTGGAGCCTGACTGAGAAGGCTTTTATTGAAGGCTGAGGAGGGACAGGGAACCACCTACTTTGAAACTGGCCCTACATCCCCCCAGGAAGGACTCCTGGTCCTCAAGCGGCACCCACTGACCAGGCCTGCGGGGATGGGTGTTTGTTGCAGATTTCCCTTCCCCCTTCACCTGGGTCACAGGCTACTTTGCCATGGTGGTGGGCGCAGGCATGACCTTCGTCGTCCAGAGTAGCTCCGTGTTCACCTCCGCCATTACTCCGCTCATTGGTGAGTGCCCATGCCAGAGGCAGGCTGAGGGAGGGAGCTCGGGAAGGTGGCATGTCCTCTGCCTCTGCCTCCAGGCCTCGGTGTGATCAGCATCGAACGGGCCTACCCACTCACGCTGGGCTCCAACATCGGCACCACCACCACCGCCATCTTGGCCGCTCTCGCCAGCCCCAGAGAGAAGCTGTCCAGCTCCTTCCAGGTACAGTTGAGGGGGAAGCAGAGCAGGGACAGGACTGGGGCTGTGGTTTAAAGCCCAACATGTCACAAATATTTTTTTACTATCTCTATGGAAACAACGATGAGCAATTTTTTACTCCAGGCCTATTTAAAAAAAAAAAAGGTTGCCTTTAAGTTGAGTCTGGTGACCACTGGCAAATCATATTTCAGAGAAACGTGCTCTACAAGGCTTTCAATGGTTGCATTTCCAGAAATAGATTCCCAGGCATTTTTTCTGAGGTACCTCTGGGTGTCTCAAATGCTCCAATCTTTCAGTTAGTGTCTGAGTACATTAACTGTGTTCACCACTCAGGGAGACTCATTGATCATTTAGTCACACCAATAAACAACTACATGTCTAATGGACAGATGCAATGAAGAAGAGTGCTGGCCCAGGCTGGGGAGTCAAGGAGGAACAGCGTTGGGGTTAACTAGGAGATGGAGCCTTCTAGGATGAAATGGAATCTAGGGTCGCACAACTCCCCACCCACTAGGCCACCAGAACTCACATATTTTGAATATGTCGTCAGGAGGAGGGAGTTCCTAGAAAAAAAGACCTCAGCCCAGACCAGACAGGGAGCCAAAGCAACTAACGCAGACATTAAAATGAATCTTTGGGGGGGGGGGGCGAGAATCTTTCAGCTTCTAGGTCTTGGTAACATCTTCCGGGAAACGCTGAGAGATGGGGTTCAGTGATGAGAAAATGGAGACTTTAGAGCAGGAGTTATTCACCAAATGATCCAGAAGCATTACAGCATTTTAATAACCAGTGCAGCCACCATGGAGTATTCTGGGTGCAGGCCAGATACCAGTCCTAGATAGGGAAATGCTAATAGGATACAGGCCCTCTATTACTACTCCCCAACGTAAAAATTTCCCTGTCATCAAATCAGAATCAACTCATAGCTGGTCCCTCAGTAGGTTTTCAAAGGCTGTAAACCAAATAGGAAGAGACTGCCCGTTGTTCTCCCAAAGAGCAACTCGGGATCCAAACCACTCACCTTTTGGGTTGGTCTCACAACTTCCTACCCCCTAGGCGACCAGAGCTCACATACTTTGGACATGTGTTCAGGACGGGCTGGTTCTTCGAAAAAGACATCATGTTGAGAAAGGTGGAGAGTCAGAAAAAGAGATGAAGGACCTCGACAAGATGTCTTGGCATAATGACTGTAATAACGGGTTCCAGCATAACATGATAGGGCCAAATTCAGATCAGTAGTTCACAGGGCCACTCCGAGTCTTCCTAGTCTACTCAATGACACATAACAACAGCCTGACTTGGGAGCTGGGGCCAGTGCCTCCCTCAGTCCTTCATCTGTTCCTCTGCAGATTGCCCTCTGCCACTTCTTCTTCAATATCTCGGGCATCTTGCTGTGGTACCCGTTGCCTTGCACGCGTCTGCCCATCCGTATGGCCAAGGCTCTGGGCAAGCGCACCGCCAAGTACCGCTGGTTCGCCGTCCTCTACCTCCTCGTGTGCTTCCTGCTGCTGCCCTCCCTGGTGTTCGGAATCTCCATGGCGGGCTGGCAGGCCATGGTGGGCGTAGGCACGCCCTTTGGGGCCCTGCTGGCCTTCGTGGGGCTGGTCAACATCCTGCAGAACCGCAGCCCCGGCCGGCTGCCCGAGTGGCTTCAGACATGGGACTTTCTGCCACATTGGATGCACTCCTTAAAGCCCCTAGACCGCCTCATCACTCGCGCCACCCTGTGCTGTGCCAGACCTGAGCCCCGCTCACCCCAGATGCCTGCCAGGGTCTTCCTGGAGGAACTGCCCCCTGCCACGCCCTCTCCCCGCCTCGCGCTGCCTGCTCACCACACTGCCACGCGCCTCTAGGGGGGCCTGTTCACCGTACCCAGGGTGCATGACGAGCATGTTTGGGTGCATGACTGTGCTAGTCTGGGCATGTATCTGTCCTTATGCAGGCCCTCAGGGGCCTGGTCTCCTAGGTATGCGTGTGCCTGCTTGTCTGTTCAGGATGAGTCTGTTACTGTGCACAGTGTGGGTACTTGTATTTGTGTGCTCACGTGACAACCCCCGCTTGCGCACAGCTGTATCGTAGGAGGCTGAGTGCATGTTGCAGGGCACCTGGGGATGACGTTGAGTCCTTTGCACAGGTGAAAGGAGGCTGGTGCTGTGTGCTCAGGCGGTGCTGGGCTGCACTCCGGGCTGATCTGAGTACGTGACTGCGAGCCTGTTAGCTTGTTAATACGTATGGGTGCCTGAGTCACTGACCGAGTTCCCACCCCTTTCCTTCCACCTTGATCCCATTTCTTCTCACCCTCACCAAGGTTTTCCGCACCACTGGCTACAACCCTCTCCCTGAACACTGCCTGATGAAAAAACGTTTAAAATTAAATTCTCATTATGCATTTGAGACCCTTGTCACTCTCCACCTTCAGGGGAGGGCAAGACTTGACTGGGAGCCCGACAGCACGACAGCACCGTATCCCCTCACCAAAGACGTCCTGCAAAAATCTTGCCTGGCTTTCGGGATTTCATGCTGCAAACTTTCCAGTGCCCCCACCCCCCGTTTACGTCTTCTTGTATACCTTCTACTCAGAACCAACACAGAGTTGACCTTCCAGCAGGTTTTCAAAGGCAGTTACTCGCACAAGAGGAGAGTGTCCATTCTTCTCCCGTGGAGTGGCTGGTGGCCTTAAATGGATTGCCTTTGGAACTGCAGTGCAGCTTCTTGCCACTAGACCACCAGAGCTCCCTTGCTTATGTTTTAGCAAGGGCGATTCACAAATTCCTGGAGGTGCCTAGAGCCATCGCCAAGGCAAGTGCAAGGCTGTCTGCACACCTCCACCCCAGCTCAATCAGCTAAACCTCAGGTCTCTCTCTGCCTGCTGTCTGAACTCAATTCCCTCACTCTCACACCCACTGCCTCTGGCTGGGATATAAGTACTCTAGAGATGAATGACAGTCACTTGTCCCAGTCACTGTTTGTAGTGCACATCTGGGGGTTTTGTGGGAAGTGAGTGTGAGAAGATTCACACCACCAGACTCTTCCTCTGCTGGAGCACCCCTAGGCTCTTGGTAGATACGGAGAGCTGGAATCCAGCCAGGAGCCTCTCTCAAGGGAACCCGGGGAGAAAGAGGCAGAGTCTAGGGGGGTCCTGCAGGGTAGGCAGCGTCTAACGGGTAACCACAACCTCAGCGAGCTATCCTTCCACAAGGATCTCCCCTAAACCGGTTTCCCGTCGCATCTGTCCACGTGGAATGGGAGGATGAGCCCCCGGCCTGGTTGGTTTATTCCTGCCCGCTAGGTGCCCTGCAGGCGCAGCCCCGAGATGAGCTCGTGCACGGTCTTGTTGAGGAGGCCGCCATGCACGCCGCGCCGGCCCAGGAGCACCACGAGCGAGCGCGGCGTGTGGCCCACGCAGACAGCACGTCCGTCCAGGTCCTTGGTGCGTGCGTCCAGCACACCGTCGTCCTCGGTCAGCAGATGGTCGCGGATAACGCAGCACCGGCGGCCCGCCACGGTCAGGCCCTTCTGCAGGAAGGTGCGCCTGTCGGGCCCAGTGAGCACGCCCACCTCCTGCGGTGAGATGGCCGCCAGCAAGCCCCCAGGCCGCGAGGCCCACACACAGCGATTGTCCGAGTGGCCCAGGATGGCCACGTCCTCGATGCGCTGGTCCCGCAGCACTGCATTGATGTAGCCCTTCCAGTCCCCCATCCTGGCTGGACGCACCCTCTGCTGGTGTTCCGGAGGACTGGGCCGCTGCGCAGCGTCTGGAACACGAGAGGCATTGTGACTGTGACGTAGGGGAAGCTGTGACATAAGGGAGGCTGTGACGTAGGGGGACGCTGTGACGTCGACGCTGTGACCTGGAGGAGGCTATGACATAGGGGGAGGTTGTGACGTGAAGGCCAAGATAACAGGCTAGAAAGTACAGGTGGGGTTATGAAGAAGACGCTGGCATCATACAGCGGGTGATGCATACAGTTAACATATATAAGAAATCGCTTAAAAGTCCAATTTAAACGACCGGCTTAAATAGCCCAGAACACATCGATTTAAGAAGAAAAATGGAGATGCTGAGATCTGGGCAACACGATCATTTCCTGTAAGACTGCCAATCAAGCATTGTTGTGTGCCATCGAGTCAACTGTGACTTACAGCCTCCCTATGCACATAGCTCTGAACCCTGCCCTATCCTGAGCCAGTCTCACTGTCTCTAACATACTTGGCCCTGTTACCCCAGTTACTGTGTCAATCCATCTCATCCAAAGTCTCCTACTCCTATGCTGTCCTTGGTAATGTGACCTAAGTATGTGAGACACAGCTTCAAAATCCTTGCCTCTAAGGATTAGCTTGCTTTCACTCCCTCCAGGACAGACTTTTTGACCTCTTAGCAGTCCATGGTATTTTCAATATTTTTCTCTAACACCACAACTCAAAGGCATCAATTCTTCTTCCGTCATCTTTAGCCATTGTCCAGCTCACTGATGAATAAGCAAGTAATCGTGAAGACCATGGCCCGGATCAGGTGCACCATAGTCTCCAGACTGACATTATTGCTCTTCAGTACTCTGGAGAGGTTCCTGACAGAAGATTTCCCCAATACAGTTCATTTCCTGATTTCCTGACTGCTGGTGCCAAGAATGTTGATTGTGGAACCAAACAATCTCAATCTCTTCTCCATCTATCATGGTGCTGCCAATTGGCTCAGTGGTGAGAATCTTTGTTTTCTTGCTGTTGAACTTCAATCCATATTTAAGATTGCAGTCCTTGACCTTCTGCAGCAATGCTGTGAAATTGATGATACCTAAGCTCTTTTCACCTATATCACTTGATTCAACCTGATGAGGTGTGGCTTAATAACTTGCACTTCTAAATACAAGGGCCCACAAGTCTTGGTGGCTTAGTGCTAAGGGGTTGGCACTGCTCACTGCAAGGTCAGCAGTTTGAATCCTCCTCTCAGAAAGATAGACATCCTCTTCTCATAAACATTTATAGCCCAGGGAAACTGATGAAGGGCCACTAGAGTCAGAGCTCCACATGATGGTAGTGGATTGGGTTTTGGGATTAGCAAGGGACCACACTTTGAGACCCCTTGCCCTAATGTGGGTGATGGTGGTTGTGTACAGTGGAGTTGGGACAAACTCATAGTTGACCTTCCAGCAGGTTTTCAGAGCCAGTAAATCCCATGGGAGGAGACTGTGCATATTTCTCCTGTGAAACGACTGTCTTTAGGTTGATAGGGTAATTCCTTTTTTTAATATTTTTTATTAATTTTAAAGAACATTCACAGAGATTTTGGATCTCCACTCATTCATTGTTGTACTTTTCTCCCTGCCCATCCCTCCCCCAACCCCAGCTCACTCCTCTCTTTGAAAAGTAAAAGAAAAATTCTTTCATTGGTATACAATCCCCCCGCACTCCCCTCCACTGCCCCAAATACACTCCACTATACAACCTTAATTCTGTACTCCTGTGATAACCATAATACTCTATCATATATTGCTTTTAAATTGTTCTCTCCCTCATCTGTTTCAATGCAGTATACATAATTTATCCAGTTTTTCTCAGTCTTACCCTAACCCTGATGTCAGTCCCATTCTACAACAGCGGTACCACGCAGTATTTGTCCTTTTGTGACTGAGACACTTCACTCAGCATAATGTCCTACAGGGTCACCCATTTTGAATAATATTGCATAAGTTCCTTGTTTTTCAATGCAGCGTAGTATTCCATTGTGTGAATATACCACAGCTTCTCTATCCATTTGTTTATTGATGGGCTCTTGGGTTGTTTCCAACTCCTTGCTATTGTGAACAAAGCCGTGATAAACATGGGTGTGCATGTATCTGCTTGGATGTCGGTTATGGTTTCTTTAGGGTATATTTCCAGTAGTGGAATTGCTGGGTCAAATGGTATCTCTATTTGCAACTTTTTGAGAAAGCATGACCCCATTTTCCACAGTGGTTGCACCATTTTACACTCCCACCAACAGTGAATAAGGGTTCCAGTTTCTCTACAACCTCACCAGCATTTGTTGCTTGCTGTTCTGTTAAATTTTGCTATTATGAGGTGAGATGATATCTTATAGTTGTTTTGATTTGCATCTCTCTTAGAGCTAGGGATTTTTAACATTTCTTCATGTGCTTGTCAGCCATCTGAATGTCTTCTTTGGTGAAGTGTCTGTTCATATCCTGTGCCCATTTTCCAATTGGATTATTTACCTTTATCTTGTTATAGTGCTCAAGTATTTTATAAATCCTAGATATAAGTCCCTTATCTGACATGTCATTACCAAATACTTTTTCCCAGTCTGTGGCTTCTTTTTTTACCTTGTTGGAGAAGTTTTTGGATGTGCATAGGAATTTGATTCTTAGAAGGTCCCATTCATCGATTTTATCTTCTCCTGGTTATAGAGAAAGGGTAATAGTTTACCACTGTTTGTGTTGTTGTTATGTGTCATCAAGTCACTTGCTAAAGACTCTATCTATGTATAACAGCCCTGAAACCTGCTCTATCCTGTGTCAACCTTATTGTCTTTGACACACTTACCCTCATTATCCCAGTTACTGAATCAATTCATCTCATTAAGGGTACTCCTCTCCTGCACTGTCCCTCCACTCTTCCAAACATGATGTCCCTCTCCAAGGACTAGTTCCCCCTTGCAACATGTCCAAAGTATGTCAGATGAAGCCACAGAATCCTTGTTTCACCCTCTTTAGGACAAACCTGTTTGTTCTCCTGGCAGTCCATGGTATACTCAATATTCTTCTCCAGCACCACAGCTCAAAGCCATCTATTATTCTCTTTCTATCATCTATAGTCATTGTCCAGCTCTCTGATACATAGCAAGTAATTGCAAAGACTATGACCTGGATCAGGCACACCTTAGTCTCCAGACTGAAGTCATTGCTTTCCAGTACTCTGGAGAGGTCCCTGACAGCAGACTTTCCCAGTGCAATTTGTCTTCTGATTTCCTGGCTGCTAGTACCAAGAGCGGCATCCACTTCCAAAATGGCTTGCCTCTGGAAACTCTATGTACGAACAGTGCTCAGACTGTTCGTTCATAGGGTCGCTATGAGTCGTCTATGACTCGACAGCATTAAACAACAACAACAAGTACCAAGAGTGTTGATTATGGAGCCAAGCAGACTGAAGCTGTTAACAATCTCAATCTCTTCTCTATCTATCATAATGCTGCAATTGGCCCAATGGTGAGAATCTTTGTTTTCTTGATGTTGAGCTTCAATCTATATTGAAGGCTGCAGTCCTTGATCTTCTATAGCAAGTTACTTCAGGTCCTCCTCAGTTTCAGCAAGCAGGGTTGTGTCATCTGCATAACACAGATTGTTGATGAGTTTTCCTCCAAGCCTGACACCACACTCCTCATAGGCCCAGCCTCCTGGATGATCTGTTCTGCATATAGATAGAAAAGTTATGAGATAGGACACATCCCTGGCATACATTCTTCCCAATTTTGAATCATGCAATGTTTCCTTGCTCTGTTCTGATGACTGCCTCCTGGTCCAAGTATAGGTTTCACATGAGCACAGTCAAATGTTCTGGGATTCCCATTTATTTATTTTTTTTTTATTTTAATGAACATTTAGAGATTTTAGATTTCCATTCATTCATTGTTGCACTTTTCTCCCTACCCACCCCTCCCCCCCAGTTCGCCATTCTTCTCTTTGAAAAGTAAAAGAAAAATTCCTTCCTTGGTATACAATCCGCCCCCCCCCCATTCCCATTCTTCTTAGAGTTAGCCACAGTTTGCTGTAATTCATACAGTCAAACTGAGAAGCAATGATGTCAGTTTGAGGACTACAGTATGTTTGATTCAGGGTATGGTCTTTTCAGTCACTTGTTATGCATCTGAGAGCGGGACAATGAATAAGGATGGCAAAAGAAGAATTGCTGCCTTTGAACTCTGGTGTTGTGAAGAGGGCTGGAGATCTCATGGCCTGCCAGGACAACAAGTATATCTCCTGAAGAGTGTGCAGCCAGAGTGCTCTTTGGAGGTAAGTATGATGAGGCTTCGTCTCACATACTTTGGACATATTTCTAGAAGAAGTTATTCCTTTGAGAGGGACATTATACTTGGGAAGGTAGAGGGATAGTAAAAGAAAAGAAGACCCTCAACCAGGTGGATTGACACAGTGACTGCAAAAATGGGCTCAAGTGTGTCAGAGATTGTGAGGATGGCACAGGATAGGACAGGGTTCAGATCTGTTACTGGACTTGACAGCACCTAACAACCACAGGCCATCCAAACTCCCTAATGTGGGTTGGGGATAGTGGATTCCAAGACTCCAGCCTTCAGGGCTACACCACTGATTTACCATTAAGCATTTCTAGCAAAGGTTCTAAACCTCAACTGCACATGGAATTTCCCAGGAGTTTTTAAAATACAGAAATACCAATCCTTAGAGTTGCTAATTGGTCTGAGTGGATCTTGTATCTAGATAGTCTCCACAGGTAATTTCGAAGGTAGAGAACTGCTGCTTCTCTATAAATGTAAAATGTGCATGTTTCTTATGAGCAATAAGGAGAGGGCTTGACACACAGCAGGCTCAGCAAACGTTATCTGAACATGAATTTAAATCTTACATGAGACGTCACAGTCCCTACTCTATGAAGGGCTGTTTTTGCACAGGTTTTCTGCCTTGGTCTTTCCAAGGTTAGCCTCTCTCAAGCATTTTCCAAACACTTTATTATAGAGTGCATGTCTCACACCTGACCCAGCGGGAGAGGAGAGGGGAGGTGTCATCTTCTGGTTACAGGACCAAGCAAGGGAAAAAGGCGGTCAGGAAATAGTGTGCTCCTGGATCCAGCCCAGGTAGTTGGCCACATCAGTGTAGACACCGGGTTTGTTGCGGTCGCCACAGCCAGAGCCCCAGCTGATGACACCCCGCAGGATGAGCCGGTTTTCCATGGCGGGGTCCTCACACACCAGCGGACCTCCAGAGTCACCCTGGGTCGGAGACACGGAGCTCAGGGAACATCGCCTGGGCAGCCCCTAGCGGGGTAGGTGGTGAAAGCCAACCCTTCCCCACCGCTCACCTGGCAAGCGTCGGTGCCTCCCTCCAGGTAGCCCGCGCAGAGCATGCCCAAGGCGAGGGCGGCTCCGTGCACTTCGGGGGCGGAGCAGCGCTCCAGCGGGATGAGAGGCATGCGCGCCTCCTGCAGGAATCTGGCGTATTCCTCGGCTCCTGCCCGCAGAGAGGTCCTTCTTCACACCCTGCGTGGCTCCAGTCGCTGCCTACGCTCGGCTCTTCCACACCCACTAATGTCCTCCCTCCCTCCCAGCAATCCCAGAGAGAGAAGGAGTTGCTGTCAGCTCTATATTACAGATAAGGAAACAGAGCCCAGGGAGGGGCTGGACTTGAATGCGCAAGAAACACCAGAACAAATGAACTGGGTGCTTTGCCTTTCTAAAGCCGCCAGTCCCTGGAGAATTTTATTCGCGAACATCTTGGACCAGGCCCGCGAGCTAACCAAATCTTGCAGCCCTGCTTCGGACTGAAGCAAGAGAAAGCCAGACGTTCCCTGGGGTTCACCTAGAGGAAATTTTTAAATCCTAGGACTGAATCTTAATCCCAGAGAAGCACATTGCAGAGACGAAGGCTCTCTGCGTTCTCTTAAACCACCATCTGCCATGACTAGCGCCATCTGCGCAAACGGCACCCTGGACAGCACTAAAGTTGGGAGTTTCACTTACATCCTGTCCGGAATCTCCCGCCCCACAGTTCTGCCTACCCTCAAATTGGTGGCCCCAGCCGGCCACTTCGCAGCGCGTAGCCTCGGCCTCGGCGGGTGGTGCGGCGCTGCTCGGCAGACACACGGGCTGGACGTAGGGCGATGGGTGCGCACAGCTGCCGTCCGCGCTCTCCTGCAGGCGCAGCAGGGCTAACCCCGCGGGGAGCAGCGTCAGGAGACGCCAGGGACCCGGCTTACTCCCCCTGTCCTAGAGGAAGCCCCACGCACCTATGTCGTTTTGATAGTTGGTGGGCGAGAAGGCCTCGTGCAACTGGTAGGCGCGCACGGCCAGCGTCTGGCACTGCCCACAGCTCTGGTTGTGGCGGTCCTGACCCAGCACCACCGTCAGCTCCTCAGGGTCTGGCCTGCGAGGGAGAGGAACGGTTCAGAGGTGGCCACAGTTGTCCTGGGGGAAACCCCTGCTGGGGGGCTTGGGAAGTGGTCAGAAGAGGAACTAATCTCAGCTTGTTCGCAAGTGGTACTCGCCGGTTCTGCAGGCAGTGCGCGGCGGTCAGCACCCAGCAGGAGGCGATGAGGCTGCCTGCGCAGAAGTTGTTGCCCCAGTACAGCGCGGCGATGTAGGGGTGCGCGCCAGGCAGCGCCACGAGTCCGCCAACGACGCGAGTCAGAGAAGACAGCCGTTTCCGCAGCCGCTGCCCGCAATCTACAGTGCCCGCCGTGGGCTGCAGAGTTTGCGATTCCGGGACCTTGCGCAAGACTGGGAAGAGTATGGGGAGGCGAGCGGAGCCGAACTGAGAACTGGGAGACCCACGGTTGTTCTCATCCCACTCGCTGCCTCTTCAGGAGTCTTTCCCCACCCCCACCATCGAACCCGCCAACCTGAGCTCTGGGTCGTAGGCTGAGGACCTTGAAAGACCGAAGGCAGGGGCACGGGCAGATCCTGACGTTCTAGGGACATCCAGGTGGGACGGGGGATTGGGGGCGCTGCGTTAGCTGGAGCCTGACACTGTGTCAGGTTACAATACTCCCAGCTCAGTCGGTCCCCGCTTAAGGTGAAGCACCACGGACGGATGTCATTGAAGGGGTTCCTGCGGCCACAAGATGGGGCGGATGGAGCACAGGGAGCCCAGGGAGCCTCCGAGCCCCTCGCACCCCACCCCATCCCCGGATGAATGGAGATGCCTCATTGCGCTCACCGGCAGAAAGCGTGGCGACCTAGCCCCCAGCTCAACTCTTGTTCTGCGGACACGTTCCAGTAGGTGGCCTCCGCGGCCCACGACTGGCAGGATGCGCCCGAGAGGGTGGTCCCGGCCACGCCCCGGTACCTGAGCCCACGGCCAGTGTAGCAGTTGGCCTTAGTGTCTGAGAAGAGGAGTTACCTATAGCGCCAAGGGCACGTGTGCCGGCCCTCCTCCCCGTACTCCTTCTGGCGATAAGCCCCACGTGGGGTTGGGATTCTGCTTCTGACTCACCCACATCGCAGATGGGACCTGCATAGCCCTCGGGGCAGTGGCACAGACTGCGTCCTTCCGCCTGCAGGCAGCGGCCCCCGTTGAGGCACGGATCGGTGCGACAGGCTGAGGGAGAGAGCGAACTGAGTCTGTCGAGATCTAGCCAAGTGCCCCTCTCCCTTAGCTTCGTTACCGGTTTCTTGCTAGCTTTTTGTCCTAACAGTGGGCCTTCCTCCCCGGCCAGTACCAGCCCCGTGAGCTCACCCTGGCTGGTCAGCGGCTTGCAGTGACCTTGGGGACCCTTGCAGTGGCACTTGTACACGCCCTCAGGTCCAAGTTTGTACCACGTCTCATCCTCATGGAAGAAGCGCAGGAGCTGAGGCTCAAAGCACTTCTCTGGGAACACAGAGGATGAGGGTCTCAGACGAGGTGGGATCACCCCAAGTCTGGGCCAAGCATGGTGTCCAGGTATCCAGGGGCGCCTCTGGTTTAGGCCCAGCTGCCCTTGCCCCACCCCCAGCCCCCTGCTGCGCCCTCAGCATTCCCCCCACCCCCCACCTCTCTGGCAGTGCTTCCCGGTGAGGTGCTCCGGACAGAGGCAGTGTGGGCCGGTGGGCGTGTTCACACAGGTGCCTCCCTTCTGGCAGGGGCTTCGTTTGCTGCAGTGATCTGAAAGAGGTGCACAGTCAGAGCCACATGACAGCCTTGTGACATACAAGCCTGCCTGCTTGGTACTTCAGGTGCCCAAGCCTCAGTTTACCCACTGTAAAATAGAGTCAAGCCAACCACCATCCTCACCTACACCCTTCCCTCCACTCCCCACCCCTTCACCCCCGCCCCCAGCTCTCCCTCTGGACTTTTGAAGGTTATTGTGGAGGGAGGCAGGGGAGAGTCATGAGCTGGGAGGAGAGGGTCCTGGGCTGTGTATGTACCTTTCACTTTCTTAGGCTCCTGGAGGCAGTAGGCCCATTGCTGGTCCTGCTCAAAGTTCGGGGTGGTAGCACACCTGCCCAAAGTTGGGAGTGGTAGAAAAAAAAATGAGCCCTCCCTGTTCAGCCTAGAGGACTGAGCCACTCACTCCGAGCAAGATTTTTTGGGCAGAAGCTGGACAAACTCTGTATCTCCCAGGTCCTGTTCCAACTCCTTACCAGGGCCGAGACCCGGGCCTGCCACTGCGGATACATCTGTAGTGCAGCTGCCGGTGGTACTGGAAGGGGAAATAGCAGGGCTCCCCAGTGACAGTGAGAACTGCAGGAAAAACACATGCCCTGAGGACCTCCCCTAGGCGGACCCCCAGAGCTCCTAGGCACCGTGTGCAGGGTCTGCGTGAGAGAAATGGGGCCTGGAAAAGGTCATTTGTGCATTTCAGACCTTGAGTCTTGTAGTCAGACTGTTAGTTGGAATGTCCTGCTGGCTCCACCTTCTATTTGTGAAAGAAACCGAGAGCCAGGAAGCTGGGGAAATGGACGAAGACCCAGGTATGAAGACTCTCTAGCCTGCACACCTCCAGATACCTGCCTGTGCCAGGCTTTGGTCTGGCAATTCCGTACAGCCTGGGTCCTTGTGTCCTGGCAGCCAGGAACACAGACTTGGCGTAGAACAGGCACTTGGATCGGAGTGCCAGCCAGACACTTCCAAGGACAAGAGTAGAGTGTCTAGGACGCCCCTCTCATCCTAAGGGCCCAACACTGGCCCTCAGCCCTCTCCCCTCTGTATTCCTCCTCACCAAGCGTCCTCAGGCTACTTACCCACTGCGTGCTCACCCACTTCATGCTTGTGCTCACCCACTTCATGCTTGTGCCCTTTCGGACCTTTCCAAGGTGGAGTCTACGGGGAGTGATAAGAAGACAGTGAATTGTCCATAAAGTCTTGGGTTGTCCCTGATTCCTGGCTAATTCCTTTCATGGTCCAGAAATCTACAGATTTCCCCCACAAGATCTAAGACCCCTTCTTCCTCTTTGCATTGTCTCCTCTGAGTTCTCTGTCCCCAGAAATTCAGACGTGTTCTAACTTCCACCGGCTTTGACTGTCTGTCTCCTCTGCCAGGGCCTTCCAGGCTGGATTGAACTTTTGCATGCCTGGGCCAAAAGATCATGTCCAGAAAACACCAGAGCTGGCAAGAAGGACCTACTCCTACCCCAGGGTCATCCTAGCATAATCTTCCTGATTTCCACAGTCCTCACCAAAAGTGCTGGCTCCAGGCTCACCAGCAGGGACCCTAAAAGTAGCAGAACCCTCATGGCGTCTCCCTGTTGGTCCAACCGCCTGATCAGGAGTCCAGATCAATAGGGTTAGTCAAAGGTCTCTGCAGCCTGGGAAGTGGGCACAGGTCAAGTCACCCTCTTGGGCCCATGGGGAATAGGCTGTGGAAAGCCAAATAAAGCAGCTTTCTTGATAGGACACCAAGAGAAAGGGAGGTGAGATTTCCTGGGTGGGGGCAGAAGAGCAAAGAGCTGGGTTCTCCCTTCTCTCTGATAGAGAAACTGGAAGGAAGAGATTACAGTTGTGTTCTGGGTCCTGTAAGAGGTGAGAGAGTTGAGATCAAGGAGAAGCTCTTTATTAGGGATCTTAAAAGGAGATCTGGTAGCCTGGTGGTAAGGAGCTTAACTGTGAAACAAAAGGCTCATGGTTCAAATCCACCAGATGCTCCACAGGAGAAAGATGGGTAATCTTCAGTCTGATTATTGTTAGTTACCATCTAATTGAATACAACTCACAGCGACTCTATAGACACAGATCAGAACACTGTCTTATCCCATGCCATCCTCACAATCTCTGACACACTCAAGCACATTGCCACAGTCAAGGTGTCAACCCACTTGGCCAAAAGTCTTCTCTTTTGCTCTCCCTCCACCTTCCCAAGCATGATGTCCCTTTCCAAGGAATAACCTCTCCTAGCAATATGCCCAAAGTATGTGAGATAAAGCTTCAACATCTTTGCCTCCAAGGATTACTTTGGCTACACCATCTCATATCATATGTCTGTCATTCAGACATCTGTTTATTCTTTTGGCAGTCTTCAGCATTCTTCTCCAACACCATAGTTCAAAAACATCAATTCTTCTTCTATCATCCTTATTCACTATCCAGCTTTCAGATGCATAGCAACTGACTAAAAAGACCATGGCCTTAATCAAGCGCATCTTAGTCCTCAAACTGACATCATTGCTCCTCAATAATTGGAGAGGTTCTTGACTACAAACTTTCCCAGTCTCTTAATCTCCTGACTACTGATACCAAGTTTATTGACTGTGGATCCAAATAAGATTAAATCATTGACAGTCTCAATCCTTTCTTCATCCTTCATGATGTATATTGGTCCAGTGTTGAGGATTTTTGTTTTCTTGATGTTGAAATGCAATCCATATTGAAGGCTGCAGTATTTAACCTTCTGCAACAAGTGCTTCAAGTCCTCCTTCCTTTCAACAAACAAACTTGTGTTATCTGCATAAAGAAGGTTATTGATGAGTCTCCAATTCTGATGCCATGTGATAGAGTACAGCTTGTGAAAGCTCACTGAAGTGTCGGCTGTGAATAGGTTCTGACTAGATAGCATATAACAAGGGATCTTGGTGCCTACTTGAAGTGTGTTAGTTTTCTACTACTTCCATAAGCTTAACAGCTTAAAACAATACCCATTTATTAGTTCACAGATCTGAAGGTCAAAAGTGAGGCACCATGCAACTGGCTTCACTGCTCAGCGTATCACAAGGCTGCAGGCAACGCTGAGTTTTTCTGAGATTCTGGAAAATCCACCTCTAAGCTTATTCAGATTGTTGAAAGAATTTATTTCCTTGTGGCTGAGGTCCCTATTCCTTGCTGGTTGTCATTGGGGAGCGCCTGTAAGTTCATAAAGGGTGCTTGCATTTCTCTGTATGTGGTGCACTCCATCTTCAAAGTCAGCAATAAGAGATTTTCCATCACACTGAGTCTCCTTTGCCAGAAAGAACCTTTTGAGTTGAAAGGCTCACCAGATTGGTTCAGGCCCACCAAGGACAATCTCTTTGGTTTGTTGGGTAATGTCAAGTTGGTTCTGACACATAGCAAGCCTGTATACAACAGATTTAAATATTTCCTGTTCCTGTGCAATCTTTACAATCATTGCTGTGTTTGAGCTCATTGTTGCAGGTACAGTCTCAATCCATTTCCTTGAGGGAAGGAGGGTCTTTCACTTTTTCACTCATTGTCTACTTTACCAATGGAGCTCTGATGGCCCAGTAGTAAGGATTTGCACTGCCAACTCAAAGGCAGGTTGTTTGAATCCACCAACTTACCTGCAAGAGAAAGACGAGCACTCTACTCCATTGTGATTTACAGCCTCTAAAAACCGACTGCTGGGTCAGCTATGAATCTGTTATGACTCAAGGACAATGAACAACAGCAACAACTACTTTGTTGTTCTTGTTGTTATGTGTCGTCGAGTTGCCTGAGATTCAAGCCTGCTCTATCTTGAGCCAGTCTCACTGGCTCCAGCACACATACTGCAGTTACTGTGTCAATCCATCTCATCCAGGGTCTTCTTCTCTTGCACTGTCCCTCCACCCTTCCAAGTATGATGTCCTTCTCCAAGGACTTGTCTCTCCTGGCCACGTGCCCAAAGTGAGAGGGAGCTTCAAAATCCCAGCCTCCAAGGAGAAACTTGGTTTCACCCTCTCTAAGATAGATCTGTTTGTTTTCCTGGCAGTCCATGGTATGTATGTTCAGTACTCTTCTCCCACACCATGAGTAAAAGGCATCAATTCTTCTTCTGTCATCCTTAGTCACTGATTCTCTGATGCATAGCAAGTAATTGCAAAGACCATTTTACCAAGTATGATATCCTTCCCCAGGGACTGGTCCTTCCTGCGAGATGAAGTCTCAACATCCTCACTTCTAAGAAATCTCTTTATTAATAGTCAACTGAGTTAGGACCTTAAGTTATATTGTCAAAGTATCTTCATAAGAAGCACCTAAATTATTGTTTAATTGAATATCTGGGAGAAAGTGTGTGTGCAATCAAGGGTAGAGATCTTGCAGGCCATTTTAGAATTCTGTCTTCCACAAGAAAAGAAAAAATATTTAAGTACTAAATTGTTGTTTTGTGTACCATGGAGTCATCAGAACCAACTCATATTGGTTGAGTAGTTTTAGAGCCAGTGGGTTTTCATAGGCAGTAAATCAGACCAGAGGAGATTGCCCATCTTTCTCCTGCAGACCAGCGGTGGATTTGAAGTACTAAACTAAGGGATAAAACGTGTGTCTGGAACACAGAGGAAAAGATGAGTTGGATGTGTGTTGTTTTTTCCTGCCTAGTATACACCATTGCCCCTGTTCATTGATGATACCCTGATTTTTCCTTTGGGAATCACTCTCTTAGTTATCTAGTGCTGCTATAGCAGATACCGTAAGGGTATGGCTTTTACCAAACAGTCACTTACACATCAGAGAGCTAGAAGACCATTTTCAAGGTTTCAATTCTAGAGAAAGCTTTTCTTTCTGCCAGATCTTAAGGAAGGTCCTTGTTTCCATCAGCTTCTGTAGGCCCAGTGTTCCTAAGAGATGTCCAGTGTCCATACCCTTCCTAGTGAGGGACCTGAGACCAAAAGAACACACTCCATTGGAGGCAGCTACTTCTTGGTGATACTGAAATCCAACTTCCGGCTTGCTTTCTTCCCCTTTTATCTCTTGTGAGATAAAAAGTGTTACATTTCATACCCTAGGGAAATTTCCCTTACGTCAAATCAAGGCTGTGATGGAATCAAGGAACATTGCATTCCATCATTATTATCTTTTTACAACTATTTATCAGATCATGGGTGAATATTACAGAGCTTCCTACATTATATCATTACAAACATCTATTTGGGAGGATATTATGTAATTGATGTTGCACTCTCTCTCCCTTGCTCCATGAACCTCTCCTGTTGCCAACTCTACTCTAAATTCTGTGGCTGTGGCTTTGTTTTGGCCAATCAGATAATGATAGTAATTGGTTCACAAACAAGCATGTAAGCACAAGTTAGGCCAATCAAAGGCTGCCTTGAGACTTTTGCCAGAATTTATAGAAAAAGCTACTTTCTTTGCAAAGAGTTTACTAAGCATGAAGCATGTGGGCCTTGAGATGCTGGTGATCACCTTTGTCATAATTTAGAAAGGGCCCTCTCCCCTAGCAATGAAGCCCACACAAAGAAAAAAGAGAAAAGGAGAGAGGGATTCAGCCGCTGGCAGCTGCCAGTATGATCTCATTGACCTTCACCTCCTGGTATCCATTACTTTATGCCATCTCCTCTCATGGTGAGTCAGAGCTGTTCTGTGTGACCAATACAACTTAATGGGGTGATGGTATTTGAGTACCAATCCCAGATCATAAAAGACATTCCAAGTTCTGCCTTGGTTCTTGGATTGTTCACTCAGGAAAGCCAGCTGCCATGCTGTAAGAATAGCCAAGCAGCCCTATAGAAAGGTCCACATGGAGAGAAAGGAACATCTCCTGCCCGTTGCTAGTACCAACTTGACAACTGCTGAATGAGCCACCTTGGACATGGATTCTGCAGCTCTAAATAACACCTTGCCTGCCACATCATGAGGGAGTGGCCAGAACCACTCATCTAAGCTACTCCTAAATTCTTGACTCCAGAAATCATGAGACATAATGATTGATTATTGCTATTTGAAGCTGGAAGTTTAAAAGTGGTTTGCTTCAAAGTACCTGGTAACCAAGAAAAGTGATCCAACCAAAAGTGGAAACTATCAAACAATATCATTAATATCACAAGCAAACAAAATACTGCTGAAGATCATTTTAAAAATGGCTAAAATCGTACACAGATAGGGAACTTCCAGAGGTTCAAACAGGATTTAGAAGAGGCTGTGGCACCAGGGATATCACTGCTGATGTCAGATGGATCCTGGCTGGAAGTAAAGAATATCAGAAGAATGTCTAGTTGGGCTTTATTGACTATGCAAAGGCATTTGACTATGTGGGTCATAACAAGTTGTGGCTGACATTGAGAAGAATGAAAATACCAGACTGTTTAATGATGTTCATGTGAAACCTACACCTTGACCGGGAGGCAGTTGTGTGAACAGAGCGGAGGAACTCTGCATGGTTTACAATTGAGAAGGGAGTGCCTCAGAGTTGTATCCTCTCTCCATACCTATTTAGTCTGTATGCTGAGCAAATTATTCTAGAAGCTGGACTCTGTAAAGAGGAGTGTGGCATCAGGATTGGAAGGAGACTCATCAATACATTGTTATGCCG